CAGTCTACAGTACCTGGTAAGTGACTTTCTTTTAATTTTTTTTAAAGTTTCTGACCTTTCTCCCCCCATAAGAATGCATTCATTAATTTTCAATGCATTCCTATGGGAAATTTGGATTCGACTTCCAAACTTTTCAAATAGTTCTGGGCATCTAATAGAGAATGTATTTCCAAAGGGTGTTACAGCAAGGAAACTAACTGTGCTTTATGGGCCAGAACACAAACTTGGCTACTGAACACAAATTAACCCTGCATACATGGGAAAGCAAAATTCAGTCTTACTTTTAGTTGTTTCCAAGTCCTTATGGCTCTGGTATCTCTTTGATGTATCTAAATCAGAACAGGACCAGGAAGTCTCAGAGACAGGGCATAGTTATTTGGTTAGTGTTTTTGGAACAGAGTTCTTGCCTGTAGCACATACTACTTTTGCTGATACAGTAGTTTGAAAATTAAGAAAGTCAAAATTCTTCATGCCTTCTAACTGGATTACAGTACCTGCTTCCTCATTTCAGCTACCATGGTTTGTATTCAGGTTTTTTTTTTGGCTCATCAAGAACATTGTTCCTGGATTTGTGTTGTGTAATCTGTTGTGCCTTGCATGCTATAAACGTTCAATTATGTCAGAAAACCAAGATTTGGTCTTATGCTGAGCATGTACTACTGCTGGTGAATGGGATCAGGTTAAGCTGATCCAGCTGTTAAATAGTTTAATTTCACTATTTATCCTCCACATAACTAAAAGGGACCTCTCAATGCAGTGCCAAATCAGACAAACCATTTCTAACTTAATATAGGCTTGAGCTGTAGTTGGGCAGAGTTGCACAACAATCTGCCATTGAGACATTTCTATAAGAATGGGGAGGAGGTGGATGAAAAGAAATGAAAAATATATGTAGCGTGGTATAGATTTTATCACTGGCTGATAATGGTCTATATGTACTTTACTTAAATTTACGGTACACAAATTTATGGTACATAAACTAGAATACACAAAGCTTTAAGTCTCTCTATTTGTTAATGACAGTGGTAATGGTTCTTAATGCCACTGTTGACTGCTGTTCACTTTACATGGTTCAAATGTTATTCTGTTATAGTTTATTAAATATTTTATTAAACTATTTCAGAATATTTTTTCTTGTTTTCCTCCTCTAAAAATTAGGTGCGTCTTAAGGTCAGTTGCGTCTTATGGAGCAAAAAATACGGTGTTCACAATACACAGCTGAAAGTCAATAAAAAGTTTAAGCAAGCAGAAGTGTCACCCTTTATTGGGGGGTTCAAAGGAAAGAAAGGAGTGCCCAAACTTGAACACACTCACAACAGAGCCCAATATGGGGCAAGTAAAGAGTCTGAAGAAACTACAAAACAGTGGTTGCAACTAATGTTAGAAGGACAAGGAAAACTGAGGGAGATTATAACAGAACAATATCGAGTATTGATGGAACACATCAAAATAAACAGTGGAGACACCGAAGGAGGGAAACATGGGGTATCCACAAAATCCAACCCCAAAATGTGGATAGGATGACCTGTGCCTGTGTGAGTACAAAAGATGGGACTGAGGATGATCCTGAAGACTACCTACATATGTTTGAAAGGGTAGCGATAGAGGCAGGTTTGCTGAAAGAATATTAGGCCCTCATTCTAACACCACATCTCACCAGACTGCTGCAAGAAATAGTGGATACACTAACCCCAGATGAAGCTAGACGATATGGCATGGTTAAGAATGCGATAATGCACATGCTCAATTTAACAGAAGAGACCTACAGGAAATGATTTAGAGATTTAAAACTGAAACCAGGACAAAACCCAAGACCAGAGAATGTGTTCCAATGCTTTGAGATGGCTAAAACCAGAGGAGAGGATGAAAGAACAATTAGTAGATTTAATAGTTATGGAACAGTTAGTGATAACACTAAATCACAGACCCAAAACCTGGGTAAATAAGCATAGGCATACGTTTTTGGAAGAAGTGGTGAGGCTGATAGAGTTTTATGGGAATGCTGAAGAAGGCAACAATGTAGGCCACTCTCATTTCATTGAGAGGAATAGTGCACAAGACAAGATGGTGATGAGTACAACTCCTCAAAGACCCATGGTGGCATTGAGAATGAAGAACAAAGGAAAAAAGGTGGTTGAACCAACCAATCTAAGGGGACCACAACCACCTGTCACTGTCGATTGACGTATTCTAGATCAACCGACTGGATGGAGAATTCGCAGGGATAAAAAAGATGTTTTGTGTGTGGCCTAGAGGGACACCACCATCGAGAATGCCCTGAATGGGATGTGTCAAGGGGTTGATACATATGCCACCCACCCACAGGTAGGCAGGGTTCAGCAATCAGGATGGGAGGTAAGAGCCATGGAGAAATCAATAAAGCTCTAGTGAATATGCAGCATGGGAAAATGTTAATAAGAGAATTACAAGGAGAGGTATTAGAAGATAAAGTGTTGGTGAGATGTGTCCACAGAGCCTTGAAACCATACCATCTAGCCTGCGCCAAACACGGAGATAAACAATGTATGAAAGTAGGAGTGGCACCTGGACTAATGAGAGAAATGCTTTTAGGTCAAGACTGGGGGTGGGGGCTGAACAAACTAACTTATATCAAGAAAAAGAGGGAATGAGAGTTTGAAGGATGGAAGCCAAAGGAGAAAAGCTAGAAGAAATGTTGAGATAGCAGTTAAGAAATTGGCAACAAGACAATATCTTTGGAAGAGGCTAGATTCAGGCAATGCTGGAGGAAGGAGTTGAGAAAGGGACAGAAGGATATGAGTTAAGGGGAACCTTATTATATCATATTAATAAAGATAGGGACAGTCAGATAGCTGTACTCAGGAAGTTGTGGAGGGACCTACTGAAATTATCTCATTATATACCCATGGCAGGTCATTTAGCCCCCCTGAAGATGATAGCACATACACATCAAAGATTTTAGTGGCCACAAATAGAAAAAGAGATGGATAGGTTCTTTAAATCATGTCTGACATGCCAGTTAACCAAAGAGACACCCCTTATCCCTATGCCCTTAGCCGATAAACCTTTTGATCGGATAGGGATCAATTTAGTAGGACTGTTGCCTAAGTCCGTGGGAGGAGACACCCACATCTTAGTCCTGGTGGATTACGCAACCCAGTATCCAGAAGCAATACTGCTGTGATCCACTAGCACTAAAGTCTTAGTAAGATAACTAATGACCATATTCTCCTGGTTAGGGTTCCCCCAGGAAGTAGTGACTGATCAAGGTAGCAACTTCATGAGTCAAACAATTACAGAAATGTGGCAACTATTAGAAGTGAAACCCTTGAGGACTATAGTATATCACCCGCAGACCAATAGATTGGTAGAAAGATTTAATAAAACCTTGAAAAGCATGCTGAGATAGTGATAGAAAAGTGAAAAAGGTGGCGCTTATTGCTACTGCCCTTAATGTTTGCAATAAGAGTAATACCCCAGGCTTCTATTGGGTTCTCTCCCTTTAAAATGTTATATGGAAGGAATCCTAGAGAGATTCTAGATCTCATAAAAGAGAAATGGGAAAGTGGGGAAGACAAAGCAAAGATTACCATACAGTACGTGTTAGAAATGAAGGAGCATCTGAAAAAAGTAGCAGAAGTAGCTACGGTTAATTTGACCAGGTCCCAACTAAGACAAAAAGGACATTATAGTAAAAAACTAAAGCCAAGAGAATTCACACCAGGACAAAGAATCCTTCTACTGCTACCTTCCGAAGGGACCAAACTGTTTGCTAAGTGGTAAGGACCTTATGAAGTAGTAAGGAGAGTAGGGGAGGTTGACTATGAGATATACATGCCAGACAAACATAAAAAAGCACAGAACTTTACATGTAAACCTACTAAGGGAGTGGTTAGAGAGATAAGAGTCGTATGGAGAACCAAAGGAAGAAGCGTTTAGGCCAGAGATAGGACAAATTAAAAAAACAAAGGGACATGCAGAAGTCAATCCCCAATTAGAAGACACAAAGAGAACAGGTAATAGAACTAGAGAAGTAATTCTCTGATGTCGTCTCTAATAAACCAGGAAGCACCCCTCTAATAGAACATGGCATCACCACGCCGCCTAATATGGTAGTGAGAAATAATAGAACCCTCAAATAGTCCACGGAGAAGGCACGCAGTGATAGTCCCTAAGCCTTGTGGTAGCATACAGTTCTGTGTTGACTTTGCATACAGTATCTAAGTTCAACGTTTGCCCTTTGCCTAAGTCTGGGGGGGACACACCCACAAGAGTGCCCAAACTCAAACCCACTCACAGGGAGTAAATCAATTCAATTCAGAACCAAGGCCTAGACAGTTTAGCTGGTATATCTTTCCCTTATCAGGTTAGTAAATGCTGGAGTCTAGGGAATTGTTATAGCAACTCCCAGGTAATAACTTCAGAATCCATGGATCCAAAAATATAGCTGGAGATATAAAAATATGCTTGGCTAAAAGACTCTGTATCAAAAACTACATAAAAACTATGTGGAAAGGAGTTAACATAAAACTAGAAACACTATATAAAGAGGAGATAGAAGGAGCAAAGGAGCAGCAAGGAAAAAATGATAAAACCACACCATACTGAACTCATAAGAGCTAACAACATTTATGGGTGTGATACCTTCTTCCCTCTCCTTGCACTCATTACTCAAAATTACAGGGATCAAGTGAGGTAATCGTTCACATTTTCTTCTCTCTATGCTCATGCTTCTTGTGAATGTTGTGGCTCTGAAGTTATCCATCAACAACATCAAATCTCAAGTACACAAAGCAAGATAGTAGATTTTTAAATAATGTGCATGCACTTGAGGATTATCCCACTTCTTTTACTATTTTGGAATGTACACAGATAAAAATTGGAGAACCATCTGTCAGATCTGCTTTGAGTTAGACTCTTGCATTGAGCAGGGAGTTGGATATGGCCTTATAGGCCCCTTCCAACTCAATTATTCTATGATTCTATGTAAAAGAAACTGCAATTCTAACAAAGAAGGATACAGACATACAGGACTGCCATGAAAAAATGTGGAATCACACCTATGTGTGCTCTTTTTCTCTCCTTTGGTTCTGTAGCTGTCCAGTAAAGAGCATCCAAGATATCCTGACCAAAAGATGAAAACAGGCGATCAGCTACCTAAAGAGACAGAGAGAGAGAATATCTATCAGGAAAACATAATTTTGTAAACTATATCTCATTTAAGCAAATGTTATTTGACTTCACTGCCCTAATGCAAATCCCGTCCATGAATATGTCACCCAGAAACACCCATTTTTTTCCTCTGGGAAATTCCTCTCAGGAGTAGCTAGAAGATGACAAAAGAACATGGCCAGCTGCGAGAAGGTTATTGAAACATAGTATGGAAGGTATATAGATCAAATAATTAATTTCAATGGATCCTGAATAAAGAGGACATGCCAAATTGATGGGAACAGTATTTTGTAGAATGGAAGCCCTGGGAACAGGGTAGCCAAGAAGAATTACATTTAACACATTTTACATATTGATAATTTTCTTTTTTTACAAAGGAATGTTTGATTCCAAAACTTTTTGAAACATTGTATTATAAGAGTATTCAGCTTCCACCAACATACAAGACTTGAAGCAAAATGTATTTTGTCTTTTAACTAATACTTGTTTTAGTCAATGTAAGAGCAGTCACCTTGAACTGTATTGGGGGGGATATCTTTTACTGTATCTCTGAATAATCATTATCCAAGAGCTTCACTGAGCTATATACTATTGCTTACAAGTAGCTACTACTCAGTGGTAAGCTTGCACTCACACATTAATTATATGTATCAGGCAAGGATGATTTGGGTCTGTATTCTTGCAACATGAAACACCAGGGTGGCAGAAGGGAAGATCTGAGACAAACTCAGTTCAGAATCCTATTGCAAGTGAAAAGACAGGTTACTTGCCTGTAACCATGGTTCTTCAAGTGGACCTCTGTGAATTCACACAAAAGGATTAAATCAGCACCTGTGCTGGATCTCTCGGAATCTTCTCGAGCTTTGAATAGAAAAGTAACAAGTTAGATTGCCCCTAATGTGCATGCTCCGCCCACCAGAGCCTCAGTTCCATTTATCTGCCACACGAGCCTGAGCATGAGCTGGACTTAAACAGTGATGGATAGTGGGGGCCCGGCGGGATTGTGTGAATTCACAGAAGTCCACTTGAAGAACCATGGTTACAGGTAAGTAACCTGTCTTTCTTCAGCATGGCCTCTGTGAATGCACACAAAAGTGTGACTAGTACGCTCCCTTACTGGATGGTGGGCCGTCACTGGAGGACAGACATCAACAACGCTCTCCCGAAACTTGTCTCTCTTTTAGCCCTAAGGTCTAGTATGTAGTGAGTGATGAAGGTGGAGACATTAGACTAGGTGGCAGTTCTGCAGGTGTCAGGCACATCAGTACCACGCAGGAGGGCCGTAGAGGAAGCCATGGCTCTGGTCGAGTGAGCCCGAAGGCCTTCAGGTGGAGTTTTGTGTTGTAGGTCATACACCAAAGAAATAGAGGAGACAAGCCATCTGGAGAGCATTGATGAGGATGCAGGCAATCCCTTCTTTTGACCATAGAAGCATAAAAAAAGTCTCTTGGATAACTGTAAGTCTTTAGTTTGGGAAACATAAAAGGCTAAAGCCCTTCTCATGTCCATGGTGTGGAGCATGCGCTCGGTATCGGTAACAGGAATGGAAAAAAGAGTAGGTAGTGCCAAGGGCTGGTTAAGATGGAAGTCTGTAACTACCTTGGGTAGGAATGAGATATCAGAATGTAAAATCACCTTGTCTTTAAAGAACTGTAAGAATGGCTGATTGGATTGAAGAGCAGCAAGTTCACTTGCTCTTCTGGCTGACGTGATGGCCACCAAAAATAGGGTTTTAAAGGATAACAGACGAATATCACACATGGCCATGGGTTCAAAGGGTGGACGCATGAGCGTATGCAGAACCAATTGAAGGGACCACTGAGGAAGCGGTGGTTTGATCGATAGTCTTATGTTAGTAAGTCCCTTGAGAAAGGATTTTAGAGTAGGATGAGAAAAGAGTCGTGATGAACTTAAACCCTCGAGGTTGGAAGGATACAATTGCAGCAATGTAAACCTTTATGGTAGAGATGGTCAGATTGTGGTCGAACAAATATCGCAGGTATTGTAGCAAAGTAGATAAGGAGACCAGGATATGCACGAGGTGTCTAGCTTCGGTAAACTTCAAAAAGCTCTTCCACTTGTAGCCATACAGAAGGGAAGTGGAAGGCTTCCTGGCCTTATCTAGAATTTCCTTGATCTTGGGGAGATTCTCCATGCTGTCAGGTGCATGGTCTCCACATCTGGGTGGTAGATCTTGCCCAAGTCTCTGGTCAAGAGGTCTGGTAGGAGAGGTAGTGTGATGAAGTCAGAGGCCATTGTCAGAAGGGTGGCAAACCAAGCTTGCAGAGGCCAGTAGGGAGCAATGAGTATCACTTTGGTCTTCATCTGGCGTACTCTTATTTCAGCTTTTTGTTACCAAAGGGATCTGAGGGAACATGTACACCAGGTTGAAAGTCCATGGTATCATGAATGCATCCTCGAGGGAGTCCTCTCCGTAACCTGCCCTTGAGGCATACAGGTTGCATTTCTTGTTCTGCTGAGTGGTGAACATGTCGATTGTGGGGAATCCCCACTGGTGACATAGTTGAAAACTCTGTCGCTCAACTCCCACTCGTGGGTTTGGCCTGTCATCCAACTCAACTTGTCTGCCAGTATATTGTCCCATGTGGAGATGTGTATCGCCACTGGAAAAATGTGGTGCTGGTAGCACCATTCCCACAGATGCACAGTCAGGTAGAGAAGTGATCCTGAGTGAGTCCCTCCCTGTTTGTTGATGTAATACATGGTCGTGGTGTTGTCTGTGACTACTTGTACACCACGACCCTGTATCAGTGGGAGAAAAGCCTTGAATGCTTTCAGGACTGCTATGATCTCTAGATTACCGATGTGGAGATCTCGTTCTTGAGGAGACCATAGGGCATGTACTTGATGTTGTCCACAATGTGCCCCCCAACCTGTTGGGCTGGCATCCGTTGTCACTTGTACCGTGAGTTGAAGAGGTTGGAAGGGGCGTCCCACTAGTAAATGAGGGCAGAAGTTCCACCACTGGAGCTGCTGAGCCAGTTCTTTTGTCACTCAAAGACACTTTCTCTGATGATCTTTCATGGGATCGAATAGGGTCAAGAACCAATACTGGAGAGACCTCATTTTCAAGCGGGCATGTACCAGCACTGGGGCTGTAGACGCCATGAGACCTAACTGAGCATATTTCGCAGAGACTGATGACCCAGGATGGAATTTTCGTATGGCCTTCTGTATCTTTGTTAACCTTTCCTTGGGCAAGAAAATCTGGCCCTTGGTGGTGTCTAACTGTGCTCTGATGTAATCCACTGCTTGTGATGGAGTGAGGTGTGATTTTTTCATGTTGATCAACAGTCCAAGGTTTTTGAAGACAGGAAGTATGAATTTCGTGTCTTTTAGAGCCTGATGCCTTGACGGAGACATTACCAACCAGTTGTCTATGTAGGGATAGACTTGAACTCTCTGTTGACACGGGCGCCATGCACTTGGTAAATGTCCTTGACGCGGTGGAGAGCCCGAATAGGAGGGCCAGAAACTGGTAAATTTTGCTCTGAAATATGAACCGGAGGTATCTTCGGTGTTTAGGATGTACAGTCATGTGAAAGTATGCATCCTTTAGGTCTATTACCAAAAACCAGCTGTTTTGCTTCAATAGGTGGATTATGGAATCCAGAGTCACCACTCGGAAGCATCTTGGATGGAGGTTTTTAGAGTTCTTAGGTCCAGAATGGGTCTGATTCCTCCTCCTTTCTTCGGAACAGCGAAGTATTGGGAGTAGAAACCATTTTTGATGTCTTTTGTGGGAACTTTTTGAATAGCTTTTTTCTTTAGAAGAGACAGAACCTCTTCTTCTAGAGCAGGATCGAATGATGTATGTTTTACCTGCCCTAGAGGAGGATATTCTATAAATTCCAGCTGGTAACCGAATTGCATAATTTTTAAGACCCATGAGTATTTTGTGATAGTTGTCCAATTTGGAAGACAGGGTTGTAGTCTTGCCGTGAAATGTTTTCCAAATGGTCTGGTGATTGAGTCAAAGGTACTGTTTGGATTTTTTGGTAGGAGGCTTGTAAGACTGTCTACGCTGAGAGGATTCAGGATGATAATTGGAAGCTGAGGAAGAGGCTTGTGAAGACCTATGCTAAGGTAAGTTCTTGAAAGGTTTGTACTGTTGAGCAGGTTGAGAATATTGGGTGTATGGTTTGTGCCACGGATACCTGTTGTATTTGGTCTGAAGCTGGATGGAATAAGACTTGGCCATTTTCTTCATCTTGTGCAGCTCCTCAAGGTTGCCATCAATTTTTTTGTTAAAAAGCCCTCTTGCATCAAAAGGCAAGTTTTCCACTCTCGTTTTAACATCTTCCATTATGTTGGCTGCTCTCAACCATTAGTGTCTACATAGTGACAGGCGACATAAGCACCCTGGAAGCCGCTTCAGCAGTGTGTCTGGTTGACAGTCTTTGATGCTTTGAAACTGTTTGAGCTTCCTCATAGGCGTTTAAAAAGCCTTGCCTGACAGCCTCAGGAATCATTTTAAGACCAGGCAAAATCCGAAGCCAGAGTAGTTTTTGGTACGCCCCTAATGCCGTCTGGAGTCACATGTGATTTTCCTGTAGGTCTGGAGCAGCTAGTCTCCACAATCAAAGAATTAGTTATTGGATGTTTAAGCAAGAAGTTGGTGTCACTCCCATGAATGTGATACAAGTTTTCTGTGTGTCTGGATATGGGAGTTGAAATGGAAGGTTGATTCCAGGTGTCCTTAATGATGTCAAGTAGAGCTGGAATAAACGTAAGGCTGAGTGGTGCAGACCTTTCTTGGTTAATGTCACCAAATATAAGGTCCTCTGCAGGTGGAGTAGGTTGATCAGTGTCCATCTTAAGAGTTTTAGCAAGTCTAGAAAGCATTTGAGTATAAGAAGAAAAGTCCTCAGAAGGAGAAGCATGGTTGTCAGCTGTATTTGACTCAACAACTTCTTCCTCCGGTAAATCGTCTTGGAATGATTGTGGTGGAGCATCATTACTGC